ATCATTCTATATGGAGGATCAGGGAAGTACAAATCAAGAGATCTAATTTGATTTACATCAAAGAATTAGTGCTCAAATGTTTAATTAGGTTAAAGTGTATGTTTTATTGATCCCAAATAATGGCTATCTTTCCCTACAGATATATTTAAAATTATAAATAAAAACATTTAATTATCAAATACATTATTTGTTCATCAAATATAATCATATTCTAAATGGATAAATTAATTAAATATGTAAATACTATCAAAATTAATCATTACATACTTTTAACATGATCTATATCATATGATATTGATATTCATTTTTTGTTATTCATTTCATAATTAATGACTCATCTATATTCCTTTCTTTTAAATACATCTAAACTAAAATATAATCATACTTAACATATTATTATTATATCATTTTCTTTACAATTATTATTTTTGATTATATGATTAATAATCACTCTTAAATCATTTTCATTATAATAATCACAAATAATTAAATAAGGCAATATAGTTTCATTTAAAATAGTATAGTATTGATTCTCCAAATTTTTTTCTATTATGATTTTTGCAGCTTAAATAAACTGTTTTTTGTCTATATGTACATCAACATCATTAACATCCTTACTATTTAAATTATTAAAATATTCCAATTTTCCTAGTATTTACTAAACTCTTAACATTTCTTCTTTCTAAAACACTTTATCTCTAAATGTCTTTAGGATACTAAATATCAATTGTTTAGATATTGAAGATTTCAATAATTTTGTAATAACAGCACGTCCAATTATTTTTAATTATTCTGACACTTTTTTTTATTTACTAAGTATGATATTTAATAAAATTATTGTATATGTATCAAGATTATTATGTAAATATTCATACAGTTTTTAATATTCTTTGAGTGGTTATTCAGTTTTCTTAAGTAAATAGTATATTAATGCAGCATATTATGATGACACTATCTAATAATTTTTTTATTCATTGTATAATTCTTTCCACCATTAAATTTCATATAATGGTTATGGTTAAGATTTATTAATTCTCCAATCTGTAAATCTATCAATCCAATCATTTTGATTTAATTTAATCTTTTTATAAGTATTAGGTTTTATATTTAAACTAATAAAGACATTTTAAATTAAATTTTATTATTATTAAGATATTTGTTATTCTCTAAATTCTACTTATGTAAAATATATTTTAAATTATTCTAAATATAAACTTAAACGTAATCCTCTTATATTTTTTATTTTTGGAATATTCATAACATCTTTTAATGATATCAAATAATTTGATTGCAATTATAGAAAGTGAACAATATCTATTGTTGGAATACCAAATAATATATTAAATAATTAAAATGATCTTATTATTTCCTCACTTGGATTCATACATTAATATAAACTATCAAGTAATAAAATAGATATATTTTAACTATTTTTTATTTGATTTGAATTTTAACAATTATCAAAGTAATGTTGAAGTAATTTCTAATCAATTTGCAATTATTAATGTTATTAAACAAAATTAAGTGGAATCACTATTTTTTGAGATAGTTTTTAATTAAATTTATTTATAATTTCATTTGAAGATTGATTATTAATTTATTTCTCTTTATTTCTCAAATTCTAATAATTAATATCAAATTATTATTTTAATTAAAGTGAAAATTAACTTTGATTTTCTAAAGACAAAGAATCATTTTCTTCTGATTCA